GATGTGTGTAAGTGTGTATATTCATGTGGGTGTGTGTATAAGTGTATAAGTGTGAGGCCACCACACCTCCGTAAGCATGTCTGCCTTGTATATATATATATATATATATATATATATATATATATATATATATATATATATGTGTGTGTGTGTATGTGTGTGTGTGTGTGTGTATGTGTGTGTTCACCACAGATTAAGAAATTAGGATTCTTCTCGGTGAGACCAAGTAAGTCAAACGATGTCGGGGCCTCGAACTTCGGCCGAAACAGTGGTGTAAAGTCCGCAAATGCAGAATCAGATACCGAAATATATCAGTGGGTGCACGGAAAATGAGAACTTAAATACATCCAGCTGAACCATGCATTCGATTAAGAGGTAGATATATAAATAACCAACCTTCAAAGAGGATAAGTATAACCGTGATACGTTCCCTGAAATCAAACAAGTTTCGAAAAATGATCTAGAACTTAAATTCGATTCGGCGTACGAAAAATTGAGATTGATTTTCTTAGTAGAACGTGTAAGTAAAACATTGTAATAATTTTCTGTAAAAATACATGTAATTATATTTCATATAATTATATGAAAACATTAGTTGTTTTTTCCAAATATCATTTTCTCTGTACAACAAGTTTTTGTAAAGAACTTTCTAAAAAGTTTACTTTTTACAGATAAAATGTCTATATCTATAAAAAGTCTGAAGTTACGCAGATGAAATAACATAAGTCAAAAAGTTCTAAGCCAATATTTGTCAAATATAAAATCCTCCATTTCCACCGTTAGTAAAATTCCTAACTAAATTTTATGCCATCTTTACTGTTTAGTCTTCGATAAATAGATGGTATATATATATATATATATATATATATATATATATATATATATATATATATATATATATGTGTGTGTGTGTGTGTGTGTGTGTGTGTGTGTGTGTGTGTGTGTGTAAGTATTATAAGTAGTTACATACGAACGAACAAGCAATCACGAGAAAGATGCATAATTGTTTCGCAGCCTAAACCTAAGCATCTCATCAAGGTGGTGAACAACGATGGTTACTTCTTTGTTCCTCACCAGATAAAATGCTTAGGTTTAGGCCTCGAAACAAGTATGCGTCTTTAGTGATTACTTGTTTGTCCCTATGTAACAACTCATTTTAATAAATATTGCTCTACTTTTGGTATTGAGCACTCTTTTGAATTAATGTTCTGAACGTTTGAATTTATATTCTTTTCGTTCTCATTACATATATATATATATATATATATATATGTATGTATGTATGTATTTATAGATATAGATATATACAGATAGATAGATTTTATATATCTTATATATATATATATATATATATATATATATATATATATATATATTTTCAAATATATATATATATATATATATATATATATATATATAATTATTTATTTAAAAAAATTATAAAATAAATATGTTATAAAATCACTACAAAAATAGCCATTGTGTTTCAACACCCTCGGTGTCATATCAAGTGATGATGTTGAATGTAAAATAAATGGTTTAAGTTTCTAATTAATTAGCAATCCTTCGTAGGGGGAAAATGTTGTTACAAAAGCTAGATTGACCAATCAAAATACATGTATAGAAAAATTCAAAAAGCTAGACAACGAAGTCATGTTGTAATAGCTATTCAGATCTTTAAAATATGGGTAATATTAAAAAAGAATTTATTCTAACCAATAATTACTAAATTATATGATAAAATTTAATATTAAAATTAAAAACTACCAATTTCAAAATCCAAATTTAATCGTTATTAGGTTTACAACCATAAAATTACTGAGGAGAAAAGAAGAAATACATATGTTATTCAATTTGTTTCTTCATTGAAATTACGTTAGACGCTAATGTTATATCTGGTCCTCTGACCATATATATGTATATATTTTAATCCCAAGTGTGTGAATGGGGTCCTAACCTCACGCGTAAAACAACGCAAACACAATCAGGTTATCATACATAAGCACCCAGACATATATATATATATATATATATATATATATATATATATATATATATATATATATATATATATATACACACAAAAAGTGACGAGACAGGGAACATCTCCACGGCTCCTTATATATATATATATATATATATATATATATATACTATACATTTTATTTCAACGTTAAAAAACGAAAACATTTTTTAACGTGTCATCAGGTGGGGAATCACTAGGCGATGGATTCCCACCCAGATGAAATGTTTAAAATGTTTTCGTTTTTTTAACGTTGAAACAAGATGTACAGTTTTGTAGTGGATATGTGCACGTTCTAATGTAACACTGCATAATAAATAATTTTTACGGCTTTACTTTTTTATTCAGCTCTATTTTAAATTAATGTTTTGAACGCTCAAATCTTACACGTCGTTATAGTGGTGCATTGTGGGTATTCTATTATGGTGGTTATAACCGCCATAATAGAATACCCACAATACACCACTAACCCGTATATATATAAATAGCCGAGAAAAATAACAGCATATGTGGCCTGACGATTGCATATAGCATGAAACAGACTGTCGCCTCTAAGTGTTGACTTCTATGTTCACTTTTATATCTATATATATATATATATATATATATATATATATATATATATATTTAAAAGTGAACATAGAAGTCAACACTTAGATGCCTGATGATTGCATCTAGAATGAAGCAGAATGTCGCCCCTAAGTGTTGACTTCTATGTTCACTTTTACATTTACACATCCCATAAATATAGCACATATTAAGATTATATATATATATAGATATATATATATATATATCACTATAAATATATATATATATATATATATATATATATATATATATATATAGATAGATAGATAGATAGATAGATAGATAGATAGATAGATAGATAGATAGATGCAAAAAACTATGTAATAATTTATATAATAGTATATTTATGTACATTTATTTATTATATATAGTGATTGTCATGGATCTTGAGATAGCTATGACTTCCATAGAGAAACAAGATTGTGTAAAAAGATTTAGTGATGTGAAAGTAACTTGGCAAAGTGCGAAAAAAAGTGAACAGACACCAGAAAACAATGAAAAAAGAAACTGAAATCATTAATAAAGAAAGAAAGAAAGAAACTCTCCTTAAATTCCGCAAGAAGAGGTTTCCAAAAGGAATTCAAAAAAACGATAATAACCATGGAGAAAAGGAAGCAAATATTTTTAAAAAGTTGGAGTTGTGAATTTAAACCCAGAGACAAGATGGAGAATGCTGGGAAACTAAATCTTCATGCATAAAACAAACAAAATGCCAAGTTTTTTAAGTTGAAGTAAACATCGCAAAAAGAAGTAGGTAGTTGGAAGTATAAATACTTACACAATATTTACATTATTCCAATTATTGTCCTCATCTTTGTCGCCATATTTATTACAACATTTCGGCCGTTGTACGCTCCTGTCTTCTTCAGATGGTTAGAATGTCGAACTGAACCTTTTATTCAGCTCACTGGGTTTCCACGTGCCATGTTTAATGGATGTCAGTTATCAGTTATCTCCTGTCAATTCCCCTCTCCAAGTTCTCCACTACCTTAACAATGTAGTGAACTCACAGCATTTTCGTCCTTTCAATGAATCTAACCAACGCCTTTATCCACTGTGCAATTTGTCCTTGTGGATAATTGTGTATGAATTTCTGGGTATTATAAATATAATACCTTCAGCTAGTTAGATCCAGTGACAGGACCGAAAGAGTTTGCGTTCAATACCCGGTTAAGGTATTGGAGAACATTTAGAGGGGAATTAACAGGTGATAACTGACATGAAAATTTTGCTTCCTTGTTTCCATCCGTTGTAATAAATATGCCGACAAAGATGAGGACAATAGTTTGAATAATGTAAATAGTGTACATAAAACCTCATCTCAGAAATATTGACAGATACTTAGACAATGTTATATCAGATGAATCGAATAAAGAGCTGAGTTCCTGATATAATTAATGAAAATTTCTGAGAATACCCGTCTTCCAGTGTTCATCTCAAAAGACGTAAGCATACACTTATGCATTTTTTTTTATTCAGTATCACCCCCAAGCAATGTAGTACGGTCACTATAACGTAAGGGTCCGAGGAATTAGGAAGAGAAACATTAATAGTGAGCAGAAAGAGAAAAGAATAATCAAGAGGATAGAAGATAGCATTTGACATTGCATTTACATTTTTGCATGATTAAAGTTGTGTGGAAAACATGGAGCCGTACGCGAGTTCCACAACCGCGAAATCCGAGAAAAGAAAGTGTTAGCAAAGAATTTACGGTTAGATCCAGCCAGCTGAAAAGGAATTCCACAGTACTTGTCAGGCATGTGACAATCTGCAGCCCCCTTAATTGCATTTGAATATGGTGAAACTGTGAATTGCGTGACGGGCTATATTTTTTCTACGCAGCAGTCTTGTTTGGTAATAGTTTATAGTTACCTGAAAATTGTGTGCGGCAAAGATATCGATGTACTGTTTGTCAGTATTGCCAGCAGATTAGTAACAACGGAATGTGTCTACTCATGGACAGCTCCCGTCGGTTGATGTTTTCAAAAATGTCTGCTGATAGCAATTTGCGATAAACGAAATACACGAGTGGTTACAGAACGTCCATTTTTAGTTTTAATATGAATAAACACTTGATAACGTTGAAACAAGCTGAGGTGAGACCAGTTCACCAGAACACTCAAATCGAGGAATATTGATTGATTCATTTATGGCCTGTCGACCCATAGCAGTTTATTTACAGCTAAAGCAAAATTCGATCATAAGAATTTTGGTGAAATAGTAATAATTTACGGACAATTCCTATTAATTAACCCATAGCTTGGGGAGAACAGATGGATTCATAGCTTTCCCTAGGGTAAGTAAATATAACGCACCTGACTGGAATTGGAACTCGAGATTCCGATCTCCAATTCCTAGCCGTTATCCATTATGCCGCACTTTCAAGCTTACTGCACATGATATTCCCAACCAGTCACCCATCGAGGTACTGACCAGGCCCGACTTTGCTTAACTTCATTGATCATACGAGAACAGCTGTTTCAACGGGATGTAGGTGTAAGCCTCTGGACAAAAAATAAACCATAATACTCCCGAAGTTTTTTCCATATTCTTCAATAACTATACGGATTTTAATAAAAAAAAAAATTATTTAATAGATAGTTATTTTTTCCCGCTTTGCTTGTCTAGGTTTTACTTCAGTTTTCTTTCTGTGTTGATCATCCACATATTGTCTTCTGAGTATCTCATGTTGCATACCTACGCGTAAAAATGAATAATTTCTGGTGTCTGAGTCACATTTTTTTTCATAAAACCATAATACGGCCGAACTGTTTTCCATATCCTTCAATAACTATACCGATTTTTAAAAATATACTATGATAATACACCTTTCAAATAGAACAAAAAATATATTCAGTGATACTAATTAAAACTTGCGAAACAGTTATTCTGAATATATCTTATGACGTCAATAGCTATAAAAAAATTCCTCTACTCAAGGGTCACTCTTTTTGATTTTGCGGCAAGGCTCTTTTGGGAGATATTCCAATTTGAATAAAGAAAATTTTCGACAAGGTAAACAATACTGTACTTCAGCGAAAATGAGCCAAAAATATAAGAATACAAAAAAAGAAAGACAAGTCTACTTTGATGCAAATATCCTTAATTTATTATCAGCATTATAGATGGCGCTTCCTCTAAAAGTGGACAATATTTTTAGAAATATAATTTAGGCGAACGAGAACCTTTTCTTTCGCAGATTAATCAGCGAAAGAAAAAGCCCAACATACTAACTGTGAATTTGAGATGTGAAAATCAATCAAGCAGAGAAAGTTTGATTTATGGAAAGTATTTTGACCGAGGTTAGAAAATAAGACACCAAATTCCGAACATGAATTGGAATATCAAAGCATGTATTTCAAAAGTTAAGCAAAAATAATACGAAAGTAAAATTTCATTGGAGACAAAGGAAAGACTGTTATCATTACTTCTATATGTAAATGTATGCCGAACAATCTCTTGTCAAAGATAAAAAGAAAAATGGAATCAACAAAAATTTGGTTTTACCGAAGGATGCTGAGAATGCGATGAACTCGCTATGTAAGAAAGGAAGAGGTCATAAATTAAATTATACACAGAATCAGAAAGAGACAACCGTAATTTCCTTGGAAACATAATGCGGAAGAAATGCATCGAGAATTTGACACCAATGGGACATAACGAATTACAAATGGCGATAGCAAGTCAGCAGGCTAGCTACCTGACGAAGTTGTGTGAATGCATGTAGGAACGGAAATAGGGGACTTGACAAAGGAAAAAATGCTGCCAAGAGTTACAAGGATAGGTTTTTGGGGAGAATTATTATTGTCCACGTCGTGAAGGGACACAGCACATAGAAGAAGAAGAATTTTTGTTGTCATATTAGAAAATATTTGCTTTGGACTATTACTTTTCCGTTACCTAGGCAAATATTCTAGAGATAAAATATTTGAGAACCGAAATGATTCTTTTGTGTTTATGTTTAAATGGTATTAGGGTCGCAAAGTTTTAATTAGTATCACTCATTATATGTTTTCGTTATATCTGAAAGGTGTATTATGATAGTACATTTTTAAAAATCGGTATAGTTATTGAAGAATATGGGAAACAGTTCGGCTGTGTTATGGTTTATTGTTTTATGGACGATTATAAAGTGACTCAGAAACCAGAAATTATTTATTTTTACGAGTAGCTATGCAACATGTGATGCTCAGAAGACACTATTTGGATGACCAGCGCAGAAAGAAAACTGAAGTCAAACCTAGACAAATAAAACGAAAAGAAATAACTATCTATTAAATTAAGAAGAGAGACATCAAGGCAAGAAGCCTCAGATGCGAGCTACAAATTGGAGGTGACAAAATTAAAGAGGGAGAAAAGTTTAAAAATATAGGCGACGTTTGGGCACTTCGACGTGGTGTAATGGTAAACAAGCTTGTCTCGCTAGACCCATTACAACTGAGTAGTGGGTTCAATCCTTACCAGGTGTTCCATAGTTTCGGACGTGCCGCATCTTAGTTGTACTTATAAAATCATTTGGGCACAAACAGGCGGTGTAATGTTTGGCAAGCTTGTCTCGCTGGAAAAATTACAACTGAGTAGTGAGTTTGATTCTCAATACTTTCGGCCCTACGCTTGGAAGATCATTATATAAGCGGCGTTTTAACAGATAACAAACATTTGTGACACAGAAATGGGAAGGCGCGCTGGAGTTGCAAAAGATGGATTCCAAAACACTGTAAAGAAACAGAAACATTTCGTCAGAAACAAAGAAAGATATGCCGAAGCGCTCAGTAATATCTATTCTATGTAGGAGTGGTTGGACAATTTCCAGACAGCTGAAGAAAAGACAGAAAAAAAATATGAAAAGAACCTAGAATTAAATCATCGAGCAAGGGATACAGCGTGTATCCTATTTCACTAGCTTGTGTAAATGAATGGTGAACGGGATAGAAAATAAACAAACATTAGGAACAGATACAAAGAATAAGAAATTATGGATAATTATGATCGGGCATGTTCCCAAGGGAAGTAGAAAAAAAAAAAGATGTTATAAGTTATACCCTGTTACAAAAGTCAGGTTGGAATCTTTGTGCTGAACGATCCCCTTACTGTTTTTAAGGTTATAAACGATGCTACCATAATTAGATTTTCTTTTCAAAATTTTTACTAAATAAACTGAATTAAATTTCTTTGCATTCTTTGTTAATCATTTCACACCAAGCAAGGCGATAAAGCTACTATGACGCAAGGCGTTAGTGAGTTTTAGAGAATATCAGTAACATGTGCGATTAAGGAGAGAAAATAATAAAATAATAACAATTCAGAAGACAGAATATAACGATTGACATTGAATAGAAAATCAACGTTAATTGGAAAACATGAAACCGAAGGAGAGTTCCACAAGCGAGAAGTGCGACAGAAATAACTGTTAGCAGAGAACTTTGACTGTAAAATAACGAAAGATTTTTCCATTCTAGTATTACGCTTAAATTCATAAAGTCTACGTACCATATAAGAAATTTCATCAGAACAATTACCATGAAATTATTTATAGAAAAGTCACAGAGAATCTGCGTTACGGCGATGGAAAATTGACGTGACACCAGCTTAAGACCAATGGCATTGCAGATTCTTTTTGGATTTTATCAAGAATCTCTAAATATATAGCAGGAGCACCAAACCTGATGTAGCAATAATTTTCAAAGCAAGGAGTGGTAGATTTATAAATATGTATGATAAATAAGGTAGATAAAATTGTCTAGCACAGCACTGAACCCACTTTCCTCGCTGCAGAGTAAACTATTGATTCAGTATGCTACTTCAAAGAAATGGAAAATATTAGCCCGAGAAAGGTCAATGAGTCACTCTTCTGGGGGTAAGAATCAGCCTTGAAAATGGAAGTGAAAAAGAGTTCTCTCCGATGATTAAAAGAGAACAGATTTCTTTTGTTGGCATTTAAGTTAGCGTGACAAAACAGATTGTAGACAATAACCATGTTTAGATATATACAGACGGGGCAAAACGCAGAAAGATGGAGCTTCAACAATTCTCTCATTGTCTTATTTGAGCCCGATCAGCTTCAGGTGGAATTATCAATTAATATTTGTCATTTGTAAAAGAATCGTTTTTCTTTCTCGGGGAGAATTAATTTTTTCCCGGTTTTATCATTTCATCAAACTGAATTCTTTCAACAAAAGTTTCTATTTTCCTTTTCTGTTTTTTTTTTCTTTGCTTTTATTTTCATTTTATTTGAAGCATTTTCTCTGGGGAATATCTAATTTTAATTTAATGATTTTTATTCATTTGTTTAATATGAAAATTAAAACAAGTTGATTAGCTGATGGCATCGAATGAAATGAACGAAATTATTTGGTTATTCCGCGCCATTATAAAGATCTGTATTCCGTTAAAATATCGTTTGCTGACATTATGTATTCACTTCGTTTAAACATTATGTGCAACACACACTTCATATTGTCATTTTTAACTTAACAACTTAATTTAATACGATACAATAACAATAATTCTTTAAAAAATAAGTCGATGCTACGAAATTATCAGCAAGGGCGACCATTTAAAAAACATGACCTACTGAACTAACACTGGTAACATTCAAAATGTTTGTTCTTGTAATCTAAAAATATTTCCAACAGACAAGAGTGATACTTATTTAAATTGTATTGAAAATGTTACATGACAATCTTCCTAAGGCTATAGCTTGCATAAGTGCTATTGTGCCATATGCTGTTAAGTAAATTTCGTTTAGGATAAAAAAAAAATGCTGGTGAGAGGATAGAGAAAGATGTTTGAGTTAAACTAGATCTAGAGTAATGGGATCTTCATTTTGTTTTTAAACACGACTTCATTGGCCTTTGTGACATAAACTTGGTTAGTGTTTACACTGTTTATATTTGAACATTAAAATGGGTTGTGATTATTATTATTATTATTATTATTATTATTATTATTATTATTATTATTATCAGCTATTCACATAAGTTCTGTCCGAATTTTAACTTTTTTTAAAATCAACGAAATTTAAACAGTATTTTATTATGTCTAATGGAACTGAACATTATTTTTATTTTTAGATGCATTTAAATTGATCAAATTTTATTTCAGAGAACAATAAAATTAAATTTTGTTGGATTAAAACCCTGCTAGCATGGAAGTACCCAACAATCATTTGAGGCACATAATGCTTTATGAGTTAAAGAAAGGAAACCCAGCAGCCGAAGCGGCTAGAATCATTCACTCAGTTTATGGAGAGGAATGTGTGAATGAAAGAACTTGCAGAAGATGGTTTGCAAAATTCAGAGGTGGAGATTTCACACTTGAAGATGAAGATAGAACCGGACGTCCATTTCAGTTTGATGAAAAGCTTTTTGAAGCAGCCCTTGAAGAAAATTCTGCTTTATCAGTTGAGGAATTAGCAGTGGTTCTCAGTTCAAATCATGCAACTGTTCATCGTCATCTTCAGCAACTTGGAAATGTTCCTAAACTT